GAACTCCTCCGAGCCCAGATCCGACATGGCGCCGCAGCCGCGTCAGCGTCGCCATGGAGACCGCCCCTGCAGGGTGGGGAGGGAGGTAGTTAGGACGGCAAGCGGCGTCGCCAAGGCAACGCGGGCACCGCCCCGGGCTCTTCCGGGCAGGGGGTGGGGCTCGCGCTGCTGTCCCGGGTCCTGAGCGCGGCGCTTTTAGCCCCGCCCCTCCGTGCGCAGTAACCCCTTCCTGCCCGGACTCGGCTGGCTGCTGCATGGGGCTGGGGGTGGGGAATAACTCTCCTGCTGCCACGTGGTCCAGGGGGTTTAGGAACCTCCCCCACAGTTGGGGGAGCCTGACTGGGCCATCATCTCTCCTTTTTAATGGACTGGGTGTTACCATTAATCAAGTTAACTTTTTTTAGGGCAATTTTGGTGCATACTCCTTGCTCCCATCCTCTTTTCTTCTATTTCTCACCCCCCTGGAGAGTCTTCTGCTTTCTTCAAAAACATTGTTCCACCCATGGAAACAGGTAGGGTTTCCGCTTTAGTTAGGCAGGAAAGGAAAAGTTAGTTAGCGGGAGATTGGGCTCTGTCCCTGCTCTGTGCAGCTTGAACACTGGAAAAATCTTCTTTCAAAAATACTGTGGGTATTATACTGTGGCACATGTGTGCACAATAAAATATGGTCATTTCTATTGCAGAATAAAGGTAATGAGTCTGTCTCGTGCCATTCAAAGCGAATGTCTCTCATAGTCACGCAGCTTCATTTCTGCCTTCTGGGAGTTCTGTCATACAGAATGGTTGGGCCTGAAATCAGTAAATATAAAGAACACGTTACATTTTAAACTATAGCTACATCCAGCATTCTTTTCTCTTGGGTTCAGAGCTACTCGGACATTGCAGGTCACAGATCTTATCTGTTCATTGTATCATATGACTCCCGCTTGTAAATGAATCTTTATGCATCTGGACAACAGAGCAAGCCCTCTCTGCAGAAGCTGGGTGAATCTTATTATAAACTGTGTTTTCTTTTTAAATTGAAGCCAGAAGACTTATGCTAGACTTCGCTCTGCTGAAGTGTCTGAAATCCAACCGGAAGGATGAAGCTGCCTTAGGTTAGCACTCCTCCTACTAAGGATAATTTGTGGACAAAAGAACTTATGCGTGCCTGAACAAGCATCAAGGCAACATGTTTTCTGTCTGAATACAAGAAAAGTGCATTGCAGGTAATTTGTATGTGATGTTAAAGTTAACTGCTGTGAGTAGTCGCATGTTAAGGATTAATAATGTTTCTTGCCTACAGAGCTCTGACCTGCCACTAGAGGTTTGCCAGCAAGGAGGTGGCTAGGAGCCAGGACTCCTAGACTCTATCCCTGCTGGAGGGGGAGGGAGAAGGAGCAGTTTATCCTGGGATGCTGGAGGACTGCAAATATCTCCTTTAAGCTCCGTGGAGCAGAGTAAAGTTACTCTAACATGAGCTAGATAGCACAGCCCGGAATTAACCCTCATGTGAATTGGCTTAATTCCGAGATGCTCAGAGGAAACTTAGCACAACTTAATTAACTTTAATGTATGGGTGTTTGTGTGTGTCTACACATGCACTTCAATGTGCATTAGCTTATTTTAATGCTTATTAAAGCATCACAAAAAACCATGCTCTTTAGCTCATGTTTATTTTTGCAGTACCTCACAATGAAGGGCATTTCTAGACATGATCCAAGAGGCCCAGGGTGGGTGCTTTAATTAGCATGGCTCTGAGAGCTGCACTAATTAAAGCACGTGGAGCGTCACGTGTATCAGCATCCCCACACTGAAAAATGCCAGCAAGGGTGCTTTAACTTCAGCTTGTCAAACAAGCTTTAGTTAAAGTGCCTCTGCCACCATTTTTCAGTGTGGGGACACTGATAGATATGATGCTGGAGTCTGCTGGAGTGCAATAATAATTATCATGCTCCTGCAGACCCAATTGAGTCTGCTCCAACACGCTGTAATTAAAGCACATTGGAGCAGCCTCCCTGCATCTGTATAGGAGCCCAAAGGTACTAGATTTAATACACATTACCTAAAGCATATTAATTAAACATGTAGATACACCTGTTGTTTTAAATGTCCTTAGTATGGTCATAGATTTCATAGC